GGGGGGGCCTCAGGGGAGGCGGCCGGGGGGGGGGGGTTGTGAAACAGCCAGGGGCCACCCTCTGCTGAGCAGAAGCCAGACCCCAGCTCTCCCAAGACTCCCGGAACCTCTGCTTCCTCATCCCCGAGTGGGGTGATGACTGCAGTCCTCTCTCCACAGCAGACCCAGCATCCAGCCACCCAAGATGGGCTCCCTGCTTCAGCAGCTGTCTAGCTTTGCCACCTACCAGCCAGGGAATCTGGGCCTGGTGCCGCGCCGCACCCACATCCCGCCCAACCCCCAGGACCTCAGGCTGCTCTCCTATGCCACCCGCATGGGGACCTTCCGAGGGCACAGCAGCCTGGAGGTGAGGGTGCCAGGGGTCCCAGGGACGGCAATGTGGCAGCTGGCCCTGAGTACAACTGGGGCTCTGCCAGGCCTTGGGATGGACCTCCCTGTGGCTGGAACTCTTTGAGCCTCCCCATCTAAAAACTGGGTGGAAGAAAAGTGTGGCAAGGACTTGGTGGGCTCGGGCCTGCCCCCGCATCCCCTGGGAGGGGGTCTTGCAGGGCCTGTGCCCTTCCCCCACTGGAAGGGGACGCATGGAAGGCGTCAGCGCCCCAGCTGGCATCTTTAATATCTTTAATCTTACAGATCCACACTTCCAATCCTCTAAAAAGGCTCAAAAGGCTTAGTCTTCCTGAAGTTCCCCTACATCCAAAGTAGGACAGAGAGAAGACCAAGCCCCTACCCTAGAAATGGACCGTTCTGGCCACAGTCCCCTGTGGGTGGCCTGGAGCAGCCCAGAGGAGAGTTGTATAAAGTGGATACCACAGGTCGGTGTGTGGCTCTGTAACCGCGGCTGGGCTGCTGGGCTCTGCAGGCGGGCAGGCCGCAGGGCCACTGCTGTCAAGAACCCAAAGAGGGTTCCTGGCTGCGCTCCCGGATGTGGTCCAGGAGAAGGTCGGTGGCACGATCCAGCAATGGAGGCAGCAGCTCTTGCTCGGCGGGGGAGAAGCAGCCCAGCACGTAGGCCTGCACGGCATCAGGGTGCGTGGGGCGCCCGATGCCCACTCGCAGCCTCGGCATTGCCTGTGGGGAGGCAGAGGGCCCGGGGAGTTGCAGCCAGGAGTGCTGAGGACCCATGCTGGCCATCCAACCAGGGCAGGGCAGAGGCAGACTCACGTTGGAGTTGAGGCAGCTGATACAGGAACGGACTCCATTGTGACCTCTTCAAGGGAGATGTGGGGCAGTTAGTGTGTCCCTGGATCAGCAGCCCTGCTTCGCCCCACCAGCAGGCTGGTGTCCTCACCCCAACCCTGAAAGCTAGGGGGCCTCACCTGGCGCTGCCACCCAGCTTCAGAGCCAGTTTCCCCAGGGGCTTGTCCAGCTCATCATGCACCAGGTAGACCTCCTCGGCAGTCAGCCCGAACAGCTCCGCTTGGCACAGGGAAACCGTGGGTCTGGCTACTGCCCACCTGCCCAGGGGTGCTGCCCTGGGGGTTAAATAGGGGCCACGACTGGCCCTACTCCGCTCATAAAGAACCACAGGCTCCCACAGATACCCAAGGTCTGCAGCATCTGGTGCTCCGCAGACACTTGGGGATGAACCAACAGGTCTGTCCACCAGAGCCCCTTTCTGGTCCCTGTGTCCTCCCACCAAACACACCCCAGGCACCAACAACTCACCGGCCCGGGCCACGCTGCGCCCATTGGCATTCATGAGCCGCCTTGGCCGGAGTAGGACCAGCTGGGCATCCCCAAGCGGGGCCAGAGCGAGGTCGGCCGCGCAGCGCCTGTCCCGCTCCCAGCTCTCTGCTACACCGAGCCTCCGCGCCAGCTGCCCCAGCACCGCCATACCCACGCTGTGTCGCGTGCTTGGCAGTCCGGGGTTCCCCAGGCCAGCCACCTGCGGGCGACATCAGGAAACAGGCCCGACAACTCTTGCCATCTCCAATCACCATCGCTTCTCCAGGGGCCCAAAGCAAAGAAGGGGAAACAGGGCAGGGCTGGAGTGAGAAAGGAGCATGAAGATGGGTCCCAGAAATCCCCAGACTCCAGAAGACGCGGGGTGGGGGCGGAGGCAGGGCACCCTAGTGCAGAGCGGAGTTCCTGGGAGTCTGAAGCTCGTCGAGTACTGGACCCACTTTCCTGGTAAGAAAACTGAGAAGGAACTTGGGGAACTGCCCGAGAGACAATGGCAGAACTGGAGTTAGGGTCCGAGACCCCTACATCACCGCCCTAATCCACTCACCAGCCACCGCTTCCCCGGAGGACGAGGCTCCAAAACACACCGGCTCATGGCCCGACTCAGCCACAGCCTAGAGCCCAAGAGGCCGGACGGCGGCATGTTGTCCCCATTCAGGCCCGGACTCCGCCTCTGACGTCAGCCAGCCTGCGGCCAATCGCATCGCCATCTGTTCAGAGCGGCCTCCAACATCCAATCAGAACTGAGCCGCGCGGCCGCCATGCTTCCGAAGGGCGGAAGCGGCGGGGCGGTGGAGGTGTCCGAGCGCATTCCGCGGCGCGGCGTCACCGTGTCCCCGCGGGGTTTATGCGAAACTTGGAGCCCTTGCTTAACTTTCGGTTTGGGAGGCGGGAACCTAATGTGGTCCTGCCTCGCAGGAGAAACCCGGTAACTCCGTCTGCCATGTACGCCTCAGCCTCCCCAGCTAGTAAGTCTTCTAACCTCCTTCCGGTTCGAACACTTGGTTCCCGGGGGCGTGGTCAGGGGGCGGAGCCTTCGGGCGTCTTGGAGATGCTACTTAGCAACGTCAGGGTAGGAGCAGTGAGCCGCTTGGCTCAGGCCCCCAGGTCTTCCTGGAAGGGACCTGATGGCAGACTCCTGCGAGGTGCGGCCTGGAGCAAAGGCAGAGGGTCAGGGAGGGAAACCAAGGCTGGGTTTTCAGGACACGTCTGAAGTGCGGGAGAAGCTAGGGTAGGGGTGCAGTTCAGGGGTGGCCCTGGCCCCTGAGCAGAGAAAGGAGGGCTCCGGATGTGTGGACCTAGGGAGGAAGGCAGGGTGGCCAGAGCTGGTGTCCAGGCAAAGGTGTCATTTGGGGGTGAGAGAAGAGGAGGGGTCTGAGAGATCTTGAGGGAGTGGAATTGATGTAGGTGTTAAGTACCCCACTTGGGTAGCTGGTGGGAAAGGTGACCTCCCAAGGTGGGAAAGCCTGGGCAGAAGCCAGGTGGTGTGCTCCATGTGGCCTGCTGGGCGTGAGGGGTCATAGATTTCCAAGAGGCATCAGGACCCCCAAAGCCTGAGACCTTGGGCAGTGCCTTAGCTAGCAACGTTGAGAGTTTGAGGTGGAGCTGGGAAGGCCCTGAGAGAGCAGAGGGTGGTGTGAGCATGAGCACCCTCATCACTAACCTCAGTCGGGACCGAGGGACAGGGCTGGGTATGCCACCGGACTGGTTCTGGAGTGTGTGCGCCTCCTACCAGGACTACTTCCTCCACCCTGGAAAATACCTGGGGAGAGTGTAGGGGATGGAGGCTGCCCTGCGGCCTGCTCCAGCTTGCTGCCCTCGGTTCTAGGATGCCCTGGAGCTTGACCAGGACTCCTCACAGACCATCCCAAAGCCATGGGTGTTTCCAGTCCCGAAGGGGACACTGCAGCGCATCTTTGGGACCAGCCAGGTGTTCCAGGGCTTCGATAATGTAAAACCAAAGGTCACAGGGCTAACGGTGCCTCTCAAAGTCAGAGAGTAGTGAGTGACCACCTTACCCAGGGTCCCAGTCTCGGCCCCACATGGCCAATACATGCTGTCTTGCCTTGCCCAGTTACTCTGGGCCTCAGTAACGGGGCCCCTCCACCCCAGAGGTAAAAGGCTGATGGCCTAGATAAGCTCTGACAGTGCCCGCCTGCTCTCACTGGGTCTCTGCCCACCCTCCAGCCTCTTCTCTTGACTACTCCTCCTCCCATCTCCCCTACCCTGAACCCAGTGGGATGTAGTGGACTGGTCCAGGGTCAGGGCCAGTCTCTGTCCGTACTCCTCTGCTCCACAGCTACCATCGAGGCCAGGAGTGCTTGGAGCATGGGGACTGGGAGATGGCTGTGCTATTCTTCTCCCGTGCCCTCCACCTGGACTCCCAGCTGGTGAGAGGGAGAGCCTGGGTGGGCATGGGCAGTTGCTGGTACACACTTTTCCCTCACTGTCACACCTGGCAGGCCACCAGGTCCCACTGGTAACTGAGCATCAAGTCTCAAGGAGGCAGAGTCCTCCCCTGTCCTGAGGGGTGGCCGGTGGGGAGGGGACAGCAGCTGGTTTCATCACCCTTAGGTAGACTTCTACGCCTTACGGGCCGAGGCCTACATCCAGCTCTGTGACTTCTCCTCGGCCGCCCAGAACCTACGCCGGGCCTACTCCTTCCAGCCAGACAGCAAGTACCTGGAACGGCTCACCTTCGTGCTTTACCTGCAGGTGCCTGGGGCTACCTGAGGCCCCTGCAAGGCACCCACCTTATTCCCAGGCCCACCCATTCCAAGATATGGCGGGTTCGCCTTGTTCTAGAACCAGCTCCGTCTCCCTGGGACCTCCCTGTCCCTGTCCCTGTCCCTGCGTCCACACCTGCTGCTCTTCTCACCTCCCAAGTAGGTTTACTGTCAGAGTAGAGAAACTTTGGCCATTGTGTCCAATAGAATTTTGCAATAATGACAGTGACCTACTCTTCACTGTCCCATATGGTGGCTACTGGCCACATGGAACTGTGGAGCCCTCAGTATGTGGCTGATGTGACCGAGGAGCTGACTTTCCAAACGTACTTGACTTCAGTTTGCTGGCTGCACGAAGCCGAGGGCTCTCACACTGGGCAAGCACATATCTAGGCACTAGAGGTTCTAAGCCCTGAAATGGCGACAGTGACCCTCTATTTGCAATTCAAGGTATAAACAGTGTTCAACTAGGCCAGTAGGTGGTGTGGTGGTTACGGTGCTGGACTCCACATGGCTGACCACAGTTCAAGTTCCAGACCCAGTAGCTTTAAAATCACACCAGTCACCAGTCACATGTGCGTGCATGCCCAAAATTCCAAGAGGAGAGTGGAGGAGCAGGGATTGTGGTGTGGCCTTCCCCCACCACCACCCCCGCCCCAGAATGATTTCTTACTTTCTGTCTCTGTTTCTCTCCAGCAAGCGCATGTGCCCTGTGACTGAAAAAAAAAAAAAAACAACTATGAAGTACCCACAAAGTCCTCATTTCCTCCCATTGTGGTGGCTTAGATGTCTTTTTCTTTTAAGTTTTATTGCTATTTTCTTCATGATAGCCAGCACGGGCATGCGCACACAAGCAAGGGAGAGAGAGAGAGAGAGAGAGGGAGACAGCTCAGGGGCTGGTCACGCTGTGATCCCTTCCTCTGGCCCTCTGCTCACCAAGCTCTCGGGCGTGTGTGCCCGCGCCCAGCATCTCATGCCAGCCAGCCACTTGTGGATCTTGTGGTTCCAGCACTGCAGTTCAGTATGCTGCGGACTGCACCATCTTTCTTTCTTTCTTTCTTTCTTTTCAAAAGGTTCTTGCCATAGGCCACATACACTCACCAGCGAGAGACGGAGGGGACGTGAGAAATCATCCTGCAGGGAAATGGCCACACCTGCAAACCCTTCTCCTCCATTCACCTCCTGGGTTTGGGGCATGCACACACAAAAACTAATCCGTTCTTAGGGCCAGCAAGTGGCGTGGTGATTAGGGAGCTGGACTCCCACATTGCTGATCCTGGTGGCTTGCTTTCTCACTTTCCCGCTCTTTGGTGAGCACACGTGCCTTATAGCAAATTAAAAAATACTAATAATAATTGGGACCAGCAGATGGTGTCATGGTTACGTCACTGGAAGCCCACATATTTGACTGTAGTTCAAGTCCCAGACCCAGTGGCTTCAAACTCACACTGTACGTGTGTGTGTGCCCAAAATCCTGAGAGGAGATTGGAGGAGAAGGAATTGTGGCATGGTCATCCCCCCCGGGGGGCAGTGATTTCCTGCTTTCTCTCCAGGAAGCACACATACCCTATAGCAAAAACCTTCCTAAAAAAAGGGTAAATAAAAAATTCTTTAAAAAAAACCTGCTCAATTCTTTTTACATAATTATTTATTTTATTATTTTTTACTGTAGGATACATGACCTATTTTTTGTTTTGATTATTTTAGAATTTATTTAAGTTTAAAATTATTGGACCAGCAGTTAGCATAATGGCTATGTCGCTGGACTCCCACGTAGTCAACCACAGTTTGAGTCCTGGACCCGGTGGCTTAAAACTCACACCAGGCATGTGTGCGTGCGTGCCCAAGATCCTGAGAGGAGAATGGAGGAGAAGGGATTGCGGCGTGACC